TATACCAAGAGTTTATGAATCAGAAGTCAAGCAGAAACCATAATCTGGATGTACAGTAACACCAGCTGGTGCATATACAACAACAGATCACATAAGAATAAGGCAGCAACTTCATCTTTAGCTGTTCATAGCACATGGGATAAAATTCATATCATAATAGGACATCTCAGCTTAGCTGATGGTAAACGTGCAAGACCTTGTGGTTGTAGCCTTGGAATTTCTCAATTCAAACATTCCTGAAAAGAACAAAATTTTCATGTAGCATTTGTTTTTGTCCACCAGAACAGAATAATATCTTAGCATTTATCCAGGCTACCAGAAATGAACTGATCACGTAAACAAACACCACTTACATAAAAGTTGTTACAAATTGCTTCTTTTTGCTATATGCATTCTTGAACAGAGTAAAAAAAAGAACAAACCAACCCTATATATATATGTACATATGCTTACTGCCCAGTTACAATTTTTTGCCTCTAAAAGGGACCCCTTTTATAGTGCTGAAAGCAGCCTCAAAAAATTCCAAAAGGCAAGGAACACTAGTTTAAAAAAAAAAAAAAGAAAAAGAAAGGAATGACAGTTTGCAGTCATTTTGTCAGTCTGGAAAACAATTAGCCACAGCTAATGGAAAAGATTACAGGAGCAACAAAATTGTTTGCTGAGAGAGTAAAACAACAATAGTTTTGTTAAAGACTAAAGCAATCACACTCCTCATATGCCACACAAGGAAAAAGAAAAATGGAAGCTTATAGGATGTTTAATCATTTTGGTTAGCACTTTTTTAACAAATTAAGGACAAAATGACCTCTAAGGACAGTACCAACCCATTATGAGATCAGAATGGTTGAGCAGTTGATAACAGAGCAGGAAAAACTCAAGTATTTGATTAGAATCTATTCTGGTTTGGGGAGAAACTGGTTATGTGTTTATAGCAAGGGATGGCAGTGAAATACTTTACATTCCAGCAATAACTGAAAGGGATGTTAAATCGCAGAAGTCTTCTGAGGCAAATGCCTTAATGCCATAGAGTCATGTTCTCTTCCATCAGTCCTAACCACCAGGCTGCCAGGAGTAGACAGAACAACATCCTCTGCTTGGCAGTAGGATTCTTACGTGGAAAGACGTGGCAGAGTCCTGGTTCCAGACGATATGCCTTGTAAGGGTTAGGATTAAAATTTTCAACAGTAAAAAAAAAAAGAACCTCATACACACACAGTTACTTTTTCATAAACAGAGACTGGAACACAGGACTCTTTTTCCTCCTCCCTGTCACAGATCCCATAGCCATGCACTAAACTCTCCACAAAACAGCAAGGGGAGTCTAACTGGGTATTTCACTGTGGAGTCTGTGTCTCTGTGTCAAGCACTGCAGCACACTGACCTCTTTGTAGACTTTGCCCCTATTAGCATTTGGCACCGCTACAACTGCTCCTGGCGTGTTCCTCTAAGGGTAATGTCCACGTTGGAAGAAAGACGCTGATGAAGCACAAGGACTCGAAGAAGAACTATGAAAGTGATGAAAGGCTTAGCTAGTACAAAAGCAGGCAACTCATTTATTTTACTGTCAGAAAGGTTAAGAAGCAATTCACAATAGTCTAGAAGTACTCTAATGGGAGAAACAGAAATTGGATGCTACTGGGTCTGTAAGTCTACCAGCCAAAAAAAAAAACCGAAGCTCCAGAAGCTGGATGACAAGGCTACACAAATTCCTACCAGGAAAGAGGAACAAAATTTTAACACTGACAGTAAACAACCATGGAAAAAAAATACGAAATATTCTGGGAGATCACCTCCATCACTTCCAATTTTTAAACCAAGGTGTATTCCCTCCCCTCAAAAAACACACATAGGTCAAACAGAAACTAGTTCATGCAACCAGCAAAGAGTGTGTTGAAGGAGTCTTTGTCCCTGAAGGGGCCTTTTATCTCAGTATTTCTGACCGCAACCAACACTGGATAATCTAGAGCATGCTAAGCCTTTCAGCTTTATGAAAGCCAATTTTGGCTGTAAAACTTTACGGAAAACAACAAAGGAATGACAAACCCAGTAAGATAGGCTGTGCTATCTAGCAAAAGCTTCTCAACACTGATTTTTCTCTACTGATAGGCTGAAGGCAGGATTAACATCTACAATGTTATGGAAAGCCAATCGGTCACTGGAAGATGCTGAAAAAATGGAGAAGGTCCAGCAGAAAGCTACCAAAAGCATTATAAGGGAAGAGAACTGGACATAAGAAAAAAAAAGACTGAAAGAATGGGGTTTGTTCAGCCAAAAGAGCAGAAAGCTCAGAGATCTAATCAGTCTTCCAATACATAGGAAGTAGTTATAAAGCAGGTACTCTCTACAGAAGGATACTTGCTGTATGTACAGGATATATACGATATAATATCTGATGTATACCTACAGGTGGATTTGTTGTACCACCATCTGCTTCTTAAGTGCATACCCCTGGATCTCTATCTGTCCTCTAGAAACAAATCCATGCCCAAAGGAAATCACTGTTCATTGCTAACACTGTAATATAATTTTTATGGGTTTTTTGAGACAAATCAGGAGCCCTGAAATCAAAATAATATATTTTTGTCTCTGTTAAATGTAGGTCTGCAAGCCAAGTTTACTTTACTTAGCTCTGAATGTGTTTCTGTAAGCATTTGAATTTCAGTCTACCCATAGTTTCCCATCTCTTTGTCATAGTGACCAAACTCTGCAACACAGCTTCAGTCCAGGCCTCACTAATATACTGTTTTTCATTTTCTTTTTTAAAACAGAAAAAAGAAAGGGAAAAACAAACAAAAACAGAAAACAAAACAAACAAACAAAACCAAAAAAACAAAAACAAAAACAAAAACGAAAAACAAACCATAAACCCCAAACCAACAAAAAACACCACATTCAACAGCATGGTCCTTTTAAATAACTATACCCCAGTTCTTTTGTTGTTGTTAATTACACACACATCCCATACCAACATCTCATACCACCTTTATTTGTGGTCTCGATTTTCAATAGCAGAGAACACAAAACAAACATTTTTTTGCTTACACTCCAAAGTATAAACAATAGTAATCTCAAAGTGTACAGAGGGCAAATGAATCGCAACAGTGGCATTTAGTCTCTTCCACACATTCCTAGGAATGCAGTGCGCTCTGCTTTCAAACTGCCAAACTACTCAGAACACTTAAAACATTTTACAAAGAAAGAATAGAAAATTAATAACATCCTGGAAGTTAAATACTCTTAACAGAAATTGCTCAAAGACTTCCTTTTTTTCTGAATGAAACAGGAAGCTACAGAAGGCATGCAACACACTAATTGTACATCACAGTGCATGATTTATTTCTTTTTATTCTGGAGAGTGAATGTGTCTAGAAATGTAACATATTCTGAAAGTACTGTTGTAAATATATCAAATTTTAATGGTCTAGAAAGGTAAAAAATAAATTAAAAAATAGGCAGGAAAAATAAATAAATTCTGCAAACAGCAGCTTTACCATGTTTTAGGGAAGGAGTTGCTAACTATAATACTGTTTTAGCAGCTTATCTATGCCCAGAATAAAAGCCATAGATTGACATAAACCCAAGAATAACATTCTCCGTGTTTTATTCCACCACAATTGTCAATAACAATAACTCAATTATTAAAGTACTACATTGACTGAGATGACCACAGTCCTTGCTTAACATACAGCACATCTTAGCAACCTCTGCAAAAAACACACAACTAACCCAAATCAGCAAGAGAAAAGCATACCCACTTATGTAACCAGCTAAAACTTTACAGAGAATATTCTTAGAACATATTTTGTTTATGGGACTTCAATTCCAGTATCCCATATAACACACCTGCAGCCATATCTGGAAATAAAATGTATTTTCCTAAACAATAACTTACAAGGCATGCTTTCTGTAAAATCACTGCAATTTTGAAGTCATTCTTTGAGGCACAATGTTTTTCAAAATCAGGCTCAAGTAACTTAAAAGGTAAGTAGAAACTATTTACTTCATTTTTCATGCTATTCACAATAAATAGCATAAAGTCTTTCTTTCTTCTTCTGCTGGTATGTTTAAAAAAACGTACTTACTCTTAAGCTTCAGCATCATTTTGATGCAAAATTTAAAATATTCTCATCCCTAAAATGACATAGCTATATTTAGAAAATACACATGTATTTGCTTTTCAAAATAAAATCTAAAGTTTTCCTTAAAAATGCAGATTTCTATCAATGGCAGCAGGGATTATCACAGTACTACAACAAAAACTGCAGTATTTCACCATTTAAAAGATCTTCTGCAAAACAGTAAGGAAAAACAACTCCTAATATTTGGATTTTTAAAAATTATTAATCTGAAGTATGTCATGTAGTAAATTGTCAGAGCTGAATTACAAGCCAAGACCCAACTGCAAACACAGATGGGTTCCCTAAATGTCATGGAGTCTGGAGCCAGCCAGTCCCCTTCAGTCAGGGGGCCCAAACAGGAGGCTGTGAAATTCCTATAAATGAGTGAGAATTACAGGAGGTGCCCTACAGCAGATTTGGAAAGGGCAGCATCTTCACAGCAGATCTTTAACCCAGCAGATCTCAGGCTATTCAAAGGAGCAATGCTTTTTTGAGTCATAGATAACACTGATACTTGGAAAAAATCCTTGTTCTTAGAAGTCAGGCTGAGGTGAGGAGAGGAGCAATGTGGTTTACATACCAGAATGGTAATGCATCTATCACAATACAGCTGCATCATGTAATTTTTTTAGCAATGTTAGTTTTTACAATGGCAAGCACTACGTGACAGTAGATTCTACCACTTAAGTACGTGATTCAACAAGACATAACATTACTGACACTCTCATTATTAGAAAGTGACTACCTGTGACTTAAGTCTGTAGCAATTCAGAAATTAAGAAGAAAATATGTTTATACTCTCAAGCACCCACTGAGGCACTCCTGGCTCATTTGCCAGGCTATTCAGTGCACAATTAATCATTAATTCCACAAAGCACCTACCTGCCAAACCAAGTGCTCCTTTACAACAGCTGTACCTGATAGACAGACGCTCAGCACAATCGTATGAGATGCAGAGGTCAAGACGCTGGCAACTATAGCATCTCTCATGTTGAAGGGCAGCATGGTATATACCACAAAAATAATGAACAAGAAAAATGACACCTGTGCAAGACAGCAAGACAAAAAAGAAACATGTCAAATTCACTTCGAAATAACACTGAAGAAATAGCATTTCATTTTTAACTGTCTTTAGCGTAAGGTTGCACACCAATTTTTTTTTACAGGAGATTTACTATTAACAGTAGAAAATCAATTTAGGAAAAATTCATTTAAAAAATGTTGGAAATTTTACATTATATTTAAGAACTACATTTTAAGATCCTATATTATTGTTCAAGAAGTACACAAAAACCCCAAATATTTCAAATTAAACTTAAAATTTATTCTTTAAAATTTTAAGTTCATTAACACTCTGTTTACAGATAGCATACAGTTCTCCTGGGTCTGGTGGTTTTTGATTGTGAACTGCATTACAAAACAACTGGCCAAACCCCTCCACATGGCCTCAGTTTCAATGCAGAGAAATTCTGTTCATCCTGATGCAGTCAAAATTCATAATTTAATATAACATTAAGCAAAAATACCCAAGTTCAGCTAAGCATTTTGGTTTAAAAACATTATACTTTATGTCTATCTATATAACTCTTGCCAAATTCCATTAAAAAACTACATTTTAAGCAAATACATTTATTTGGACATGAACAAAACTACTTCAGACAATCACAGCCCGTAAGAAGAATATATTGTCAGCATCTTTCAAGGGGTTTTAGCGTCAAAACTAACTTTATGGAACAAACTCTACAAATGCACAACCCAACCTGTAACAGCAAAAATTCCTTCACTATACACACAAAAGGTTATATATTTGATGGTATGCATATGTTCCAACCTACAATATCATTCCTTTGCTATACACACAAAAGGTCATATATTTGATGGTATGCATATGTTCCAACCTCCAACACAGATTTGAGAAAATGTAACTAGATTTGGGGGACAGATTTTGCACACATAAGTAAGTAGGCAATCCTGAAAATGTGCCAAATTGCATGTAATTATAACCCTACATAAGCCTCTCCATCAGTTTTAGTTGACTTACAAGCCTATTAACCATCTTAACAATTGTGTACACACAGTATTTAACTCAGAAAGCTCTCAAGCAGGTATAAGCAATAACAATTTGCTGCTCACTTTCCTTATTGTTAGTTTGTTTTCTTCACATCTGCATGTGATGATTACATACTCAAAACTGAACTCTAGTGTATGCTTATCTACAAGACAGTGGAGGCATTCTTCTCCATCATGGACACAGAATTGGATGGAGCAGGAAGTCCCCTTCTCCACTCTTCTTTCCCCAATTCTTCCATTACTTTAATCGAACTCCTTCCAGACCACTCATACTGCCCAAACATCCCATATGTTCAGGAGTCAGAGTGTTCAATGGCATGAAACATAACAGAACTGCAAAGGACACAAGGGATAATAAAATAAAGTAACAAAAAAGCGTCTCTAGTCTTTCAATCTACCAGCAGATAGCACAAGCTATCTGTTTAGTTTCTGTCCTCCCTAGAAGTTTTAACTGAGATCAGATGTTAATAAAAACAACAGCAAAGAAAACGGTTCACAAACTTGGTCTAGATAACATAAGGGTTATGTACGTATGATGTTTTCAAATTGTCCTGGCTGGGTAAAAATCAGCTGTGATACTGAGAGAACTAACTGATAGTCTCAAAACTTGGGAAAGATGTAGATGTAGAAAGTTCCAGCATCTGTCTTTGAAAGGCTGATGAAAAGGCTGACAAATTATGAACTGGTCAGCTTAGGTTCAATTCCTGGAGAAATAACAGACCAAAAAATAAGCAATTCATACTCATGAGTTCTGAAAGCTAACAAAAATGTAAGTAACAGCCAACGTTATTTTGCTGAGAACCAATCATATTAAAGCAATCATCTTCTGTCACAGTAACAGGCATCAGGGTAGGGGGGAAAACCTGAACAATTAGTTATGCAGCAACAAGAATGTGAAAGATCCCCTAACATAGGCATAAGATGAATGAATGTCAGAGGCAATATACCTCACCAGCATGTAAGACCAGATGCCTAAGACATGTTTACAGTTAAAAAACATTTTGAAGGAAAATCCTGGACCCTAGTCCTGGAAGAAGGATTTCAAATGCTTCCAATCCCAGTGACTTTTCATGAAAACAAGGTTTTGCTGTTCCTAAATTTAGCGTTCTAATTTACTAGGGGGAATATGGCATTTACATATTTGTGAGAATTTTATGATTAGAAAATAAAAAATTACTCTTGTCTGTCTTGTATTCAAAAAATAGAACTTGCATATTTTCTATGTTTAAATATGGTTTGAATAAATAATCCACCCCAACTGTGAGGTATATGCTACATAATTACTAGAACTCATTAGTGACATAAGATATAATACGACACTGGTGCTTTTCAACTTTGACATAAAACAGACTGGTAAGCACATAAAAAAAGATTTGGTATATTTCAGTGCTTCTAGTGGTATCAGCTGCATCAGCTCCAAATTTGTTATACTGCTGTAAACAAATATCCTTTCTTTAAATTACCCCATTACTTTCCTTACTCAAAATAAATGGGTAATTTCAACCTTCCACAACTAAAGACAGAGTTCTCAGAAGTGTCAACCCCTCTTAACATTACATATTCAGACATCAAATTCTTCATTACTCAGCATCAAGCAGGCTGAATTGGATTGGAACTATGTTAAAGAGCACTTGATAACAAATTTACTTGTCAATCCTTACATTTGCATCTTGAAATATGGGTCTGAGAATACTGTTCTAAAGCAGGAGATATATTAGTCATGCTAAGACAGAAACTCATCCAAAATGCACATCAAGAATGGCTCTTGTCAATATCTCTTGATTCTTGGCCCCAATCCTTTTCTCCTATTTCAAGTAGTGGTCTAATGTCCTAGGGAGTTGAGAGCTCTGTTTAACACAGAGGTTTCTTTTCTTTTTTTTTTTCCAAGAATATTCTCCCCGAGTACTCTGAAATAAGATGCTTCTACCCTTCATCTGCTATCTCTGATAGCAGGCATACACAGTATGCAAGGCTCTGGACCTTTCAACATATTTCAGAATGTTGCTGTATTTAAGTTTGATACCGTAGAAGTCAATACTCAAATGCTTCTGAGTACAGTGGTTCTTAAGGTAGAAAGAGAAGACAGGCTTTCTGGAGTCACATTTCGCAGAACAAACAGCAGTCCTTGACCCTTTTCATGATCTTTTTGTGAGAATTAACAAAATATTGTTCATACAAGCACTTGAAAGACCATGAAGGATGCCATTATCCCATTACAAGAGTTGCCAATGTGTTTCACTGCATGTCTGCTCTTGGTGTGTCAGTAAACACTATTAATTTACAGTGCACTATTTTTGTCAATATCAAAAGAAGCCTGTTCCACCAAAGTGGGCCATAGCCACAAAACCTACCAATGTTTTGAAACTGCGTTGGAAGCAGTCTTTGATGTGAGTCATCACTACAACTGCCTAGTTGAAACATGAGATGCTTTTTGTCCTGATCTGAACTTAGACTGCTTTAGGAATTTGATTCTCAGAGACTTCTTCAATGAGCTCATGTTATCCCCAACTTAGAATGAGAAGTATTTGGGCATTGATGGTATGCCTTATATATAGCACATAGCATTCACATTTGATTAACATTGAAGTAACATCTTACAGAGAAGTATGTGGCTTTCCTGCTTTGATTAAGTGGTATCCAGTACTCTTGCCCATTATCTTTGACTGTCAGAGTTAGCAAACTCTGAGTGTGTTTGCTGCTCGCTGTATCTCTTCTCCCACACTTCAACAGTGCCACGTTTTCATCTGCTATGTAAGCAGTTCTTTTCCACCACGATTTAAAGGATGATGAGCTGCCATAGTGTGGCTGTCTAGATATATCATGAGTGTGAAAGGCAGTGAAAGCTCTCATACAGATGCTGTAGTGATGCCATTAGAGAGACTTGGACACCAAATGGTATAACCACAGCATGGCGTGGGATATCACCGATGATATTCACATTCATTCTTGTCACAGAATACAACATAAAAATATAGTTAAGCAACTTCATGCATCTTGCAAAATGTAGTTCCTTCTTTAAATCAGCCCATTCTGAGCATCTTTAATGATGTCATTTTTGCTCCAGGGTCTCCCAGATGTACGTTGGCCACTTCAGCCTCTGACCTATCTATAACAGTAACAGTGACCAAGGAGAACTGGTATGAAGTTGATAATACTTGGTGTTTCACAGGCACTGCCATTGGAAAGGTCACTGATTTGGACTGTGATGGCACAAACTGCAGTGGACCTAACCTGGTTTTGGAGCCCATAGACCCAACCTGTTCTCAGAAACTTTGGCTCCCTAGTGTCATCACTTTCTACTCTGAATGGCAGTGCCTTAATTCTAGAGAGTATCTGGAGTAGAAAGTTTAATATATTTTACAGATTAAAATTGTCTTTCCTAGCATATAGGGTACCACAGGGGATTTTGCTTTTGACACTGAGAACAACTGTACAAAGAGATACTAATAATTTATTTTATACAAATTAAGTTCCAACAATGACTCATAGTTTCCCAGCTAGACAGCCTTTTAAAGATTGTGCTAAATGGTTAATCATAACCGGCTTGGCATCGTGTGTAAAATTCACTCAACTTAATGCTACTCTGACCAGAATTTCCCCTTGACGTGCATGACATTTTGGCACTGAAGCAGGCACGCAAATCTAAATGTGCTGTTTCAGTGTAAGTTAGGGGAAGGTGCTGCTTTGGATAAAGCAGTAATGAGGCTTCAGCTAATATCTGTAGCTCTTTGGGATGACTTCTTACACACAAGTGTAATCATAGCAAAATGGTTGGGAAAAGAGTGCTGTTCACTGTGTAACCAGAAAAGAACCTGTTCCCATAATTAAACTGTTAAAATACAAACATTCACACAAAGTTGGCCAGTCCACTACAGGATCACTTTTAGAGATTTTTCAAGATCAGCTTCCTCCTTATTGTGTAAAGGGAGTCAAAATTCATCGGGCAGTTAGAATAAAAGGGCACTGAATTAAAC